CTGGAGATTTGCCTAAACCGAGGAATAGTTATGATTTGGATTCAGCTGCAGGTAACTGTTTAAATGTTGATATTGAAATAACACCATTTTACAATATTAACATTGCTATTATTCTAACACTTAGTGACTCAAAATTTTGAATAAGGATTTAACCATGACTGGTATGTCAAAGGCAAGTCGAATTAACAAAGTTTCGATGTAAAATAGAATTGGTACTGATTTTATGGTAGTAATTCTGTACTAGCGAGCTTAAACATAAATTTCAATAAAAGCGCAATGGGAAATATATTCCTATTTTGTAAAGTTTAATCGATGTGTTCATCTAATACTGTACAATAGTTAATAACAAACAATGTACAAAGACTTTTTGAAAAAAAAATCTGTCCGACTTGCCCAATACGGTAAACAATAAGTTTAGGATGAAACAGTCGTCAAATGAGTATTTGTCCCAACCCCCCAACATTTGTGTAATGTAGACATTTCCCTACTTCTAATTATTTCCGAACGAAATATTCCTAAAATCATTAATCTACTCTTGTACCAAGCTAGCAGTAGGCATGTTATAAGTCACGCTGGCATGAACATAATTTGTATCACGTTGAAAGATCAGTGTGCAAAAAAAAACACCCCCCAGTACAGGTCAACTGCCTTTAATTCGACTCTCGGAGCAATGACCCGATTTTTTCATATTAATATGAAAATTTTCCGTTAATTCGACCATTACATATAAATTTCCGATAATTTGTAATTCGACCGCCCCAAAAATTTTCTATTAAGCCAGCATGTATAAATAGTATTATAACTACGCCCGTTAATACGATCGTTAGAAAATCACTTCCAATTTATGTATTAGTTGATTAATTTCTTCGATCATTCGACCGTTTACATTAATTTCATTGATAAAAATTCCGATTATTCGATCGCATCTTTATATGAATGCTGCTGCAATGGACAATTTATTTCATCTCAAAATGCCCCGATCGAGAAGAAAGTCTTACACAACGTTAACTATCGAACAGAAGCAGCGAATATGTCAGCGAAAACTTAAAAACCCTCAATTATCCAATTTAGTACTAGGTAGACAATATCGTGTAGGAAAAACAACCATGGATGAGTATCAATATCAATAGTGTTTCTGCCAAACGGCATTTACACCGTCTATTTTTACTTAGGCAAACGTCTACTGAACTTTTTTTACAATAAGCTTGTAACCATAGTTTTCACTCTGTTGGGTTAATTGTAAATTTTAACCGAAAATAAAGTTGGAGATATGTGCTAGTTTATACCGTGTAAGATTTATTGTACAGTATTAGTTATGACAAAATTCTGTGTTACATTAAACGCTTCTGATTGGATAAACGCTAATTCGACCTATACGTTAATTCGACCGATGACAATTATCTGACTTTTCCCTGTAATATAAATAGGTGCGCATTACGGACGATTAAAAGTTGTCTGAGAATATAAGAGATGAGAAGGTATCAGAATAAAGATAAACGGTATACGGTTTAACTGATAACAAGTACAATGGCAGCAGAAATAACTATTTTCGGTTTTTGATCATACCATGCATCGAGAAGAAAGATTCTTTTAAGTTCATCAATATTACTGTTGCGGTCGGATGGTCGGGGTTTGGGAGAGCGGTTAATCTTTCGCGTAGGGGTAGCTTCGTGCTACCGACCTTATTACGGTAGTTGTTAAATTAAGACTGAATCCTAATCTACAAGTAACCTAATTTAAATTAAATCCTTTAAACGAATGAATAATTGGTTAACAAGGAAAATGTACCACGATTGTTGAATGAATCACTGATTGCATTTTTAAAAAAAGGCTTTATTTCTGAATTGACATATACGTACACCCGAAATAAGTAACGGACCCCCTTTAATTTTAGTTTGTAGAATACAATACATAATAATTTATTCCAAATTTTTTGTATGTTGTAGCCTAGGTTCTTGTAGTTGTTTGTTTGTTTCAACAAGACAATGTACCAAATCCATACAGCCAAAGAACGTTAAAGAATGGATTGTGGCAAAGAAGATTAAAACTTTGCCCGATTGGCCAAGTCAATCACCTGACTTGAATCCAATCGAACATTTGTGGTCAGAATTCTTCAAAAGCGTTCAAAAGCCCCCAAAAATATTACAGACTTAGAAAATGCTTTACTGGAGGAGTGGGTCAAATTCCGGATTCTGTATATATGGATTTAATTAAAAGCATGTCAAGAAGAATTGAAGCATGTATCGCCAATAACGGCTAGCCAACCAAATATTAAACATGTAATAAATTCCCAGAAAGTTACTCAACAACATATAAAAATTTTGGAATAAATTATTATGTAATGTTTTCTGCAAACTAAAATTAAAGGGGGTCCGTTACTTATTTTGGGTGAGTGTATTTATTAACACTGATAATAATGACAACAACAAAAGAAGTTATTATAATAGTAAATATTAATGACTATACAACAGTAAACAATATATCAGTCAAAACATAGCGTATTCTCATTGTGGTCTCTCCATGTTCGAGGATTGTGCGTACGTGTCCATTTCTATGTTATTGTCATTATGAATGGTAACAGAGCTTATTCGAATTTTATATTAATATTAAGAACAGAGCAAATAATATAAATAATACAAAGTCAACTTATTCTCAAAATAACTTGGTTGAGCACTATTACTTTCCGAAGGCAATGGTAAGTCATTTTCGTGTAAATTGGATGCCGCAAGAAAGGATAACGTCTTGACGAATTAAGGTCTTGAAAAAATTGGAATTGGATGTTACAGCAGAAGCATTATTGACTAAGTGATAACACATAGGCCAACGACTCATTCAAAACGCCCGACAACTGCACGCCCATCTTTCTGTATCGGTAACATGTTGTCTCTCATGTCTCATTAGATTTTTTAAAGCCTTTTCTCTAAGAGAGCCTGATGCTGTTTGGGAATATCACTTACAAAAGTAGAAGAGAATCTCTTAATTGATTAGGTCGTTTAGCAGAGCAGAGCTTCATTGTTCTGTGCTTGATACCAATTTGCCCACATGTGGGCCCATACATTTTTAAGGTCCTTTTGATGACAAAATTCGTACATTTCTCGTACCGATAAAAGCCAGATATCGTCAGCTGATAAGAACTGATTTTGATCATTTGGTGGATGAAGGTGAGAAATCCTTAGAGATGACAAAATCGTGTACCCGTACGTTCATCTCTAAGAAACGAATGAAAATTCACAATTGAACTCTTAGAGTAAGAAATGTAATTATAAACTTTCCGAAATTTTTAATCATTGTTACATTTTGATAAGGCAATCGCCTTATTATAGTTGAGAATGACTTGGAACATTATTGAAGAGTAAGTCAAAGTGTACATATTAATAATAATAATAGGTCGACATTCTAATTAAGAAATGCAAAATTTTGCTCTGGCCCCATAAAAGGAACCGTGGACAAAAAAAAAATTACAAAGATCGAAACTTTTAAAATTCACATAATCAAAGAAAAGGTGCCATTTTCTTGTGTCAAAATAGCAACACAATATGATCACTAGGTTGTTTTTTTTTTTACCTTTCCCTATTATTGTGAGCTTCAGCAAATTGAGGGTATTTGGTCAGTTGTAAAGGGAAGGGTGAAGTCGCAAGATCAGGTTCCTTTTGTTCATTCGAATTAGACGCGTTTAAAAACAAAATTAATTCGCAAGTTATAGTTGGGCTTGGAGAAAAGCACTTAAAAACGCCAAGGAATATTTTGAGTCTGATAAAGATGTGCAATTAATTGACAAAGTATTTGATGCCTATGATAATATTGTATAGATTCTATCTGAAAGTGATATTTTTATATTTCCGGATACAATTTAATAAAAAAGATTTCCAATTAATACATAAATCTTATTTTTATTAGCATCTTTTTGAGTGCAAATCTTTCTTATAAAAATGTATGAACGACAAAAGAGAAAGCTATACACATTTTCGCCACTATTTACTCTCCCCGCTTTCTTCATTCTCATCAATTTCAATCAACCAAGCCACCCAGTCCTCTATAATTTTATCACGACCCTCCCCTCGCAACAATTCATGCTCAAGTCCATCGTACAATACAAGTTTCTTGCTCTTTATCGGCGTTCTGGCTTTTTCATAAAGCAATTGACTTCCTTCAACGGCACATACTCTGTCAGATGTTCCGTGCTGCACAAGAAACGCATGCGAGACCTCTTGCAGATTGGCCTCGAGCCAGAGTATGCCGTGGAGAAGTGTAATACCCGTGCTACCCCGGAGTCCACCGCTATATGTCATCGGATCTTTTAAAAAATAGAGTGAGAAGGAATCAGATAGTGTCGGGGCAAGCATTTGGGTGAGATGTAAGAAAACCAGATATTCGATCAGATATTTCAACCCTCAAACGCGCACGCGTCATACTAGTCTCTTTGTTTTTCTCACACATTTTTATGTTACTCCCCAACTTCACCAATTTCCTTACCATTCCTAAACTCCTCCTCGAGTTTCGGATCAGAACTGCCCTTTCCTACCATCGCGTAAAACATCGGTAAATACCCAAGTGGCGACTTTGCAACCACATTTGCGACATGTTCGATGAGTTGCTTGGACGTGAAGTTTCAGAGACAAAGACTAGCGGACTGAATAGGTGTATTGCATCGATAGTGGATGGGTAGAGGATAGAATAACATAGAGTTATGAATCCGCCGAGAGACTCGCCGCAAAGAACCAGTTTGCGAGGATTGGGACGCGAATCGGACGAAAGAGTAGGTTCTTTTGACGAGAGATTGGTTTCCGTATAGTTTTCGTTTTCCTTTTTCAAATGATCGATAACACAGCGTACGGCTTCTGTTAGTTCTTTCCAGTCGTTGATATAGGCGTGTTTTCCTGATGATCGACCGAATGAAGGCAAATCAAGTGCGATGACTCTGAATCCTTCTCTCAACACCGAGTCAATATGCTGCGAGAAGTGACCTCCGTAACCACCCAAGCCATGCACAAACATGACATCAACGTTTCGTTGTTTGACATTTAAAAGTGACCAGATTTGATAATAGATAAAATGATCGGCGTTTGGATACGTTGGACGAGTGGGGAAAGGAACGATATGTTCTGTGTGGTGATATGGGGCAGAGCGGAAGGCGAGTTCATATTTGCTGTAGGGTAGTGAAGCACGACCGTAAGTCAAGTCTGGCGACGAGGAGAAGAGAGAGGTTAATGATGATATCATTTTTTTTCGATGCGCGATTCAGAGAATGTTTAATATTAATGTGGGAGCTGAAGCTGAAACCATGACCTTTCATTGGTTGATCAGATTCTATTCTCTAACCCCATTTGTTAGTTTCAGCTTCAGCCGGATTTCAGTGTCAGCCGGATTTCAGCATCAGCCGCAACATTCAGTATACTTACGGTCGGAGTCAGAACATATCACATGATTAGCTCGTTATCCAACTGCATGTCACATCACATGAACTGTTTCCAGGAGAGAGATGTACAGTGTAAGAAGGTTAATTGGACTTACTCTTGGACGTTTCAGATGTCCATGTTGTGTGACAAGCAGATCGGCATTCTACGATACCTATTAAATTCGAATTTTTTTGTTCTGTAGTTTTGGTTGTGAAAGATAAGCAAATTGAATAATTGGTGGCTGTGGTGTCTCAAATATTATCGAATAGCTTAACGGCAAAGATATTTGAATGAAACCATTGTCTTTTGAACTACAATCGTATCATTGGTAAACAAATATTTTTAATCAATATTGCGACAATGCTATATGTCGATTTAAACTACTATTATCTATCTATGTCAGTGAGGAAGAGATAAGATTGTCTTTGATTTCCTATAGCGTGTTGCATGCACCCGCGGACAAGTTATTAGAAGAACGTATGCATGGAGTCAATTTGATAATAGCGAGTCGTAAGCATGTTTCGATTGTTGGGAGTGTTGGACTGTATTCGCTTGGGCGATAAGCGAGTGACGCAGACATTAATTGGATAGGTGAACGAAATCTTTAAATATCCATTAAAGAACGTTTTAGTCCAGTCATTTTACTATTAACAGTGTAAAAACATTCCGATTCTAACTCCGACATTAGACGGGAAGGTGGGAGATGATCCTTTTTAATCACTTAACGTTTAATTCCAAGTCTAATAAATGCCAAGACTTGAACAATCAGAAATGTTCATGTAACGGAAATGTTGTATCTATCATGAAATGGGTACGAGGATCTGTGTCTGTCGTATAAATTTCGTTTCCTTCTTTAAAAATGGCCAATAGCACCGTGAACAGCTTTTTTAGTCCCTTTTCTAATAATCTTCCAAATGAGCAGTTGATGAATCCTGTTTCCCAATATTGTATAATTCGTTGTTTGATCGGCGTTTGGTATGTTGGATGATTGGGAGAAGGGAACAATACATTTTATGTACAGGAAAGTGTTAAGGGGCAGAAGTTCATGTCGTTGTAAAGAAGTGAGGAACTACCTACGTTATTTCTCCTAGACGTTGGCGGTGATTGGTGGTTGATTAGTGAAGCCCATTACCAATAACCAAATCGCCGAAGATGCTATTAAACAAAAATGAAATCACATTTCGCGATCTTATTAATTTACCTGACCCACCCGACATTTGAACTAAAAAAATTTAAAGTTTTTGCTATTTCGGATAAAAATGCATATGAATATTGTATATTTGATACACGTCAAAATTACATTTAGGACAGAAAGACCATCCATATTACAAAAAGCAAAGCAGAATTTTATGAAGTAGATTCACACTTTAATAAGAAATTGTTTATGCATACATGGACTCCCAGTTTACCTGCTTATTCTGCTCAATCACGAATTTCATCGGGCGTCATGATGTCAAACACATTGCGCATATCCGCGACGTCATGTTTTAGATAAATCTTCAATCTAGGCCCTCTCCAACTCCTCAACTATCATTGTATTCTCACGTACTTTAATATATTTCGATACGACTAGACATGGCGGGGTGTATAGCTGCAAATGTAGCGGGATGGCGGATGTGGCGGATGCGATTTTTTGTGTGCAATCGATTCGATTAAGGTGATAACCCCCAAGTTTACTGGAATCAGTTGTACAATAACTCGCATAGAATCATTTCTTTGGACTTGCATTTCTTTGGACTTGCATTTCTTTAGACTTGCATTTCTTTGAACTTGCTTCTTTTTCCCCATCCTGACTAGCACGCACATACATTCTCGATTAAACGATGATGTACCGTTAAATTTATGTTTAACACCGGACGAAGCACGATCAAAAACTGAATGCCTTTGGGAAGAGTGAGTCAGCCAATTGATGTATGCGTCTACATCGTTCATGTCTCAATTAAAGGGTTGAATTCACATTAAACCGCACATTCTTCCTAACTAAATAATGTTCTTGAATTGGGTATGAAATTGAAACATGAGGCTTTATGACAAAATTTCGATTTACAAAAGAACGCATTGTTATGAATGTGGACGAAAACATTATTACCAAAGTGCGAGAGGTGTTATTTAAAGCTATACGGTGTGGGAGTATGAAGAAATAGATTATGTAAAGCTAATTGAACAGGAGGTTTGTTGATTGGAAGATAAAAATATCGCTCCACCAATTGGGCTGTTTTCATCAACTTGAAGATTAACTCTAAAATCGCGACCGTAATCATTGAATATATCATTACTAATTTCTGTTTTGATTCCCTTACGCAAATCAATAAGGTTTTGTTCGTTATGTTTTGCAATAGTAGTTTGCTGTTTGTCTGTTTTTACCATGGTTCACCTTCGTTTTCTTCTAGTTGACCAGGAGTGACGTCACAATTTCCCTCTTGTTGCAGCACGTCCCATACCATGTGCAAATCCGTTGTTTCACATAGAAGGTGGTGAAGGGCAACGTTCTGTATGCCAGGTAGAAGTCGAACTTGTTTCTACTTTCGGTTTAAATTTGAACCTTTATGGTTAGTATTAGCAACGATGAACATACAGCATAGTTAGATAAGTAAAATTAAACAAATCGACGGCTGGTTGTATGCAACCAATATAATCTGATACTTTTAGGCCAAACATGTATTTTTTTCTGCGCTACTTATTTTTAGAAAGTCAACAAGTAATATTGACCAAATTGTTCGTATTTATTCTATGATTGGTGAACTATAAACGTTTTAGTATTAAAACTCAATTAAAATTCTATTAAAATTAATATTATTAAAACTACATTGATACACTGTCCTACTGCAATATTGAGGATAAAATCGTCTATCTAGGACAATGAAAAAGAGATGAAGCAAACCTAATACTTGTCCAACTAGAAGGTGTGTGCCAATCTTAATCTGTTACATTTCGGCGACCAGCGTATGCTGTAATGATAATTAGTAACTGTTGGACGAGTGAGCCTGCGTCTGGTTATAGCTTACGACTGGATGATCACTTTCTGTGGGCGATTGGGACTTACAGTAGCTGATAATGAATAACGTTTAAATATCAGTCGAAACCAGGAGATAGCGATAAGCTTAATTAATATAAAGGTGTTCCTTGAATATCAAATATACGAAATCTAGGCATAGTAAGCATAATAATTTGTTTTTAATGGTGTTACGATGGGATGCTTTTTTACCTCTTGCACATGCGCCAATACATTCTCATTCTGATTAATAATTAATTTTGTCTAATCTATCCCTGCCAATTCTTTATCCATGTTGTTTCAATCTAGCAAGCCACTCTTGAGTAATCGATAAATTACAGATTAGAAACTTGTGATCAGTACAAAGCGATAAAAGCCAACAAACCAAATATTTATTAGCGATAACGATTAATCTCATACCATTTCCGTCAACAATGACTAAGAATAAACAATGCGTGGCAGTACTTGCAGCAGTCTCTTGCATATGTTTTCCTTTACTGTTTTTTTTTTCCCATTATCACCAACTTTTACTTGTTCAAGCGAGAATAGTCAACCTCTGCCCAAACAGTCTATCAATAGTTTTACCAAGCACATAAAAGATGGTCGGAATAAAGATGTGCATTTTTTACTGTTTATTTGGACAACATATTACACATTTAATTAGCACACATAACATTAAATGAAAATTGCTCCCAAATAAAGTTCACAAATAATGATCACATAATTTATACGGGTGGAGATGATGTCACTCTCACGCATCCGTTATTACGAACGTTGCTGCTATTTCCAGCTGCAATCATTCATAAACCGACATGCAGCTGACATCGAAAGTCAAGGGGAGCGGGTACGGGTATGGAGTCAAGAGACATTTTATTGGCTGCCCTTGCTCGTTTGACGCTGTAGTGGATCCAATCAGGTTATAGTGTGTTAGGATCTGTGCATTCTCGTACGCAATGCAATATCACTGTCAAATATAGTATGTAATAAATTCGATTACCATATATACATATTCGCACATCTACAATAGCCATGTCCATATGACTGTAGAATATAAACAAAACATTTGTACGCTCTCACTAAATTGACCAACCCGACATTTATAATTGTCTACTGTAACCATGACCAATTGCGAGAAAAGATATATATAGTGAATTATGAAATACCCAAAGAAAAAAATTGTCCTCTGATTAGTTCTATGCAACATAGTGATCGCGCATCCACAGCTTTGACTACGTGAAGAAACCCCCACATTCACTTTATTGTTGACTTGGAATGCGCAATTACTTCCTACTACATAGGAACGAACATAGCAACAGAGCGGACAATAACGCACTAATCCTGACGCACCCAACAATACAAGAACATCATTCCATTTAGAAATAGAACCTTCATTTTTTTATTCACTACGACGACTTTCGCTTCGTTGCATACCGCTACGACGGCAACGACCACCGATAATCACCGATATCACTAATAATACTACCAACACTACCAACACTACCATAACATGGCTCACGAAGCAGACACATGTGACCCAATCTGTTTAGGTTGTAATGCTTTAATTGACGAGGGAAATGTCGTTGCATTCGGCGATGGCCTATGGCACGTCTACTGGTTAGTATACAAAGTGACGGGTGGGAAAAAAGTTTAAAAGGAATTTTAGAAAAGTAGAGATGGTCCCAATCCACCCCCCCACAGTTTACATTTATTTAAATAGAAAAAAGCATGTGAAGACGTTGATAAAGACAAACTTTGTTTCAAAGTCTTTTTTGGGTCATAATAATTAAAGCACATTTTCACATTTTCGACTCCCCGCTCAATTCCCCGCCCCGACTCAACGCCCCTTAAAACATATCTAACGTCTTTTCCCCTTTGTATAACATATTCACATAACCCTTGTTCTCTTCCTGTTTGACTATTCTTTATAAATTTTATCAATGGGACTTTTGCAAACGAACTTTTCTGATATTTACCGCTGGACGGATTATTTGGATGACATTCGCATTATTTAACCTTTGAAAACTTTTACTCTCTTTACATACCAATACTCTCGCCCCACCTCTTTGACAATTCATAGCTTCCGTTGCGCAAAGTGTCACAACCTCGTCGAACACGACAAAAACCTGTTGTTATTATCTGACGGCACCCCGTTATGCGAAAACTGTTCATACAGTTGTCACGTCTGTAAGAAACCTATATCCGACGAAGCAATCATGACAGGTGAGAATGCAAACACGTGGAACGGGAGCTGTAATGGTGCTGGGATATTGCTATTACTGGAATACTGGAATACTGGAATACTGGAAACGCCCAGAATGTTTGTAAACGGACAATTGTTTTAATGTTTCTTTCTACACTTGCAGGACAAGAAGCTTTTCACGTTGAATGTTTCCGCTGCAGACATTGTCGTCGGCGGATAGAAGATTTGGTATTTGCAAAGACAAGTCAGGTATTTCTTGGGAGATCACAGATCAATCAACTTGGCATTCAAAAGTTTATCCTTCATAACACCGTTCAATGTCAAATCTGTCGATTAGGGGATATATTGCATGGATTGTCACAACGAAAAATTAAATAGGCCTCGACGGCCCAGGGAAAAAGATAACAGTATGAAACCTTTGTACGAAAAATCACTACCGTCACTACCCACTGAGGAAAAGGTACGCGACGCGCAGGTGGATGCAATCGTTTGCAGTTTGCAGCAAAGATTGCCTGCTATCTACATATGCATTTCCATGTCTGAGAAAACTGATATCAACTTTTTGTTATTTTTCAGAACAAGGAACACCGAAAAATAAAACCACAGCGGTCTTTTGACAGTCAACCCAGTCAACGCCATATAACGCCAAAACGCTCAACGGAAAGCTTAAACCGATCTCTTCCAAAACCACCAAATTCGGGTCGTCGAAAATCGCGTACTCTCGATGCAAAAGCCGTTTCGGATTCGCTTAGAAAGTTGTCCGATTCAGAATTTACGAGGAAGCGGTCCGATTCACTGTCTTCATCATCCTCGTCATCCTCACATTTACAAGCGCCATCGTTGCAAGTACATTCTCCAAACAGATCGGCCTCATCATTAAGTCTAAATAATGATGGGCCTTCGGCGACGCCGCCGTTGTCCAGAAGTTCATTATTTATACAACCAAACTCGCTTCTAAAAACCGGACTGTCGTTGAGGAGAAACGTGTCTGCGGAAGTGCTTTCGATTGACGTGAACGCCAGAGAAAGAATCGATAGAAGAGATGGAAGGAAGATGAGGACGAAGGAACGGGAGAGGGAGAGGGAAAAGGAAAGGGCGTTGGAATTGGAGAGAGAGAGGGAAAGGAGGGAGAAGGAGAGGAGAGAAAGGGAGGAAATGGAAAGAGAAAAGGAGAGGAGAGAGAGATGGAAAGAAAGGAGATGGAAAGAAAGTTGGAGATGGAGAGGAAAGAAAGGGAGGAGATGAAAAGAAAGTTGGAATTGGAGAGGGAGAGGGAAAAGGAGAGGAGAGAAAAGGAAGAGATGGAAAGAAAGTTGGAGATGGAGATAGAGAAAGAACGGGAGAAAGAAATGGTTCGTAAAAGTGAGAAAGTCGTTGCTGGAGAAAACTTTCGCGCTAGAAACGATTCTATTACAACAATACAAAGTGACACTCGCTCAGTGCGTTCGTTTTCGATAAGTAGTTATCGTAGTGACGTCACTGAAACCGCATCTTATAAGTTGACTTCATCACCAACAGCGTTCACTACTCCACTCTCCCCGTCCCAATCTACATCATCACCAGCCCGTAATACTCAAACGACTTCACCATCACCGACGAATTCGTATCCAAGGTCTTCGACACCACCAAGTCCGCAGTCTGGTAGTCCCACCACTCCGCAATCGCCGTCTTCTGAAGCCCATACTTTCGAAGATGTCAAAACCGTTACTGATGCTGACAATACAAGTGAAATAAAAGATACAGACGATGCAGATGGCGTGAATGAGGCGGATGATGCGAGTGAAACTAGTGATGCTATCCAGGAATCAGATCAGGAGATTCTTAGTCCAAGATTTAAAATAGGCCCTCCAGTTCTTCCTCCGTTGAGTTTCTCTTTTGAGGACGATCTGGTCAAAATTATCGAAAATACCAGAAGTTCACGCCAGAACAGCGTGAGAAAGAGTAAATTATTTACCATGGACGACGCAGCTTTATTGCTGGCTATGGAAGGAAAAAGTGTGGACATTCTGGGTCTTGGTGAAGAGGCGGAAGTGGAAGATGTGTTGACCAGAGAGCATGAAAGAAAAGATATACCCAGAGTTATGATCGAATGCGAAGAGGAGTCAGCGACGGCTCTAAAAGCCGAGTTGATTGAGACCAAGAAAAAACTCATTGACGTTTCGAACAAGTATCAAAGAATAAAGGTAAAAGAATTACGATGCGACTGTGTCCACACTTTCTTTTTTCTTTTTTTTTTTTTTGCATTTAGTATTGGTTCTAAAGTTCCTTTTTTTTGAACGCCCTAACAGCGGATTAGCCGAGAGGCTCTCGTTATCACCCATAATTCTTACACTGAAGAACGTGTTAATCGACATGAAGCCGAGGTAGTCATAGAAGAGTTACAAGCGAAACTGGCAGCACGGAATAAGAAAATTGCAGAGCTAAAACAAGAGAATGATGCCAAGGATAGAATGATAAAAGACTCACAAGCGTTGAAACTACAATTGGAAGAGATGCGAAGCACTTTGAAAGATTTGAGTATGCAGAAGGAATTGTTGCTTAAAGAAATCGAAGGATTGACTAAAGAGAAAGAGGATGGAGTGGCAAAGTAGGTTTTTTACTCAGCATCTGCAAATTTTCCGTTGACTAGCAACAATCATAGCATTCAATTTTCAATGCACCAAACTAACTTTTTATTTTACCGCACGTTCACGCTATCCAGCAATCCCTCTTCTCTTGTTCGACACATTTCTACCCACCTTGACGAAGTGAAGCAATCATATATCTCTGATATTCGATCCCTGCAGACTGACAGCGACTCTTTACGTAAAGAAACCGAAAATCTTCGCATATTGCGTGACCAATGCATCGAAGAAGCGCGAGCTCTAAACGAGAAAAATTTAGAACTTGCTGACTTGAATAATGAGCTGATGCAACAGATTGATGCACATCAGAAAACTTCCAAGGGTGCACTTAACGGGTTCGGTTTCTTCAGAACAAGGCCATCTGCGACGGACAAGGAGACATATGCATGCGAGCATGCGAGGACATCATCTGTAGCCACTCTCGACTCGATGGTTAGTAATGATGGGGGTAATAACCACTATAAAGAAGGTACACAAGTTTTGGCAATACAACGTGGTGTTGCGCATAGAAATAGCATCAACCGCGGCGAGACGCCTAAAAAGTTCAAGTGGAAGAAGGGAGGCGTTCTCAATAAATTCCTCCATTCGAGTAATGATGAGAATAGACGAGCGTCACCTAGTGTATCGCCCACGTCGACTCTTACCGGCAATGAGCAGCAGGAAGTAGGGAAACGAGAAAAGGAAAGAGAAAGGGGTAGGGGCTCTTCAGAAAGCGAACACAGAAAGCTTCCAGGCGAAGCTAAAGCTCATAATTGGCAGCCAACCACTTTCTATCGGTTGGTTAAATGTGAACATTGTTCAGAGAAAATCTGGGGAATCAACATGGATATGCGGTGTTCTGGTAAATATTTTGTGATTGTAGCGTGCGTCTAGTCGATTATGGTTTTTAACGGTTATTCATTCTAAAATTGGATAACTAATTATATATGTTGCCATTAATTTAGCATGTGGGGCAGGTTGTCATCAGAAATGCGTTAGTTCTTGTACATCCTCCTGTACCGGAAGTCTAGGAACGTATGCAGACGAAAACGAAAGCATTACCAGTATTACTGCTACGATATTTGGCATTGAACTGCAAAAGCAGCTTGAGACGGAAGGAAGAGATATTCCATTACTTGTAGAAAAGTGTATAAAGGCTGTTGAAGCAAGAGGTAAGTTGGAATGGGTGTGATGATAGTAAACATCAGGTCGAATGTTCGTTATATATTGATGGTTATTTTTTTTTCTATAGGTATGGATTTTGAAGGCATATACCGTAAATCAGGTGGAATGTCGCAAATGAAGGCTATTATAATGGCATTTGAACAAGGGGAAGACCTCGATCTCAACAGTCCGGTTGAATTCAATGACATTGGTGCTGTCACTAGTGTACTCAGACAATTTTTCAGAGAATTACCTGATCCATTATTCACGACAGGGCTATATAATAAATTCCTCGAGGCTGCTGGTATGTATCATTAAATTAGGTTATTAAGTATTTGCCCAGAAAGCAAGCGTTTTTTAAACTGTTGATTGGAGATTCGACATTTATTAGATTATTGATTTTGTTTTAATTAATTAGCATTACAAGCTGCAGAAGATAAACTCGATCGCTTCCGGCAGGTAATAGCCAAGCTTCCCAAAGGCCATTATTTGACAGCCAGGTATCTCATGAATCATCTTTACGAAGTGAGGCAAGCAGGCTCGGAGAACTTGATGTCAGCCAAGAGCTTGTCAGTGGTATTTGGTCCAACAATACTCAAAGGTCGCGATCCCAATACGGAGATAATAGATATGAAATTGAGGAATTCAGCTGTAGAGTTTATGATTGAGAATGCACCCAAGTTATGGCCCAAGAATATTGTTATCAGAAAGGACGGGTTTCTATGAGTGAATCGAGTCGCTAGTGAACATTATAAGAACTATTAATTCGTCCTATTGAATTTATTAATAATCATTTCGGTTGATTAGATTATAGAATTTTAGTTTTTCCTAAAAGTATTTAAACCTTGCTTTTGTTTATCAGTACATAGTCCATCGTTAACAACAGCATTACATAACTTTGATTCCCTCACACCCATTTGTATAAATTTTATTGTCGCATGTTCATAGACGGTATGTTATATATATATTTTATTTTGTATAGATACTGGAAAATAATGAAGGCATGGGGTATAACGTTGCGTGCACATTGACTATACACAGTATAAAGTTTGGGCCGTGGTATGAATTATTGAAATCGAGTATCGTAAGAGCGTGGTATGTCAGATAATTACTCTCACGCGATGAAAAGTTTGCGACGTTGCTCATTGAAAGTAATAACTACACAAGCATTACTATTACGACAATATAGCCATCAATTACGGCATTCGCATAAGTGCAATTTGTTGATTTTTTGATCCAAAGTTAGCATATTGCATAACAATCATGTACTCCTTTGTTGTGTGGTATCATAAACGAACACTTTTAACTTCGCGTGATTTCTAAACTTATGTTACGGCGAGCTGATCTGATGAATCAGATAAGTAAGTTACATGATAAAATCTTCTTCCGCAGTCAAACAAACCCACAATCGGCACTAATTTTAGTTAATACAGATATTAATTTAGTAGCGTGTCGCAAATTTTGTGACAAGCGCAGCAACGTGTCGTAAAAATATGTGACAGCACAAACGCTAAAATTAATTGTTCTTCATAGTATAATAATTTATATAGAAGCAAGTCGTTTTCCTTGCGACGAAAAAGATAATTATAATTAGCTCTTCCTCCATCGTCAAATCTTCATGTTGTCATGTTGTATGAACATCGAACGTGAATGTTGTATGTTGTTATGAATAAATAAAATATTACTGATCTTAGTAATATTCTCCCGAAATCTTTTACATAATTTAATATTCTATCGTCGAAATAATTGATTATTAGACCGGACACTCCAATAAATGGCTCACTTAAGCTGTAACGGAATAGCATTGATTTGATCAAGCTAGTAAGCTGTCCGCGGATCAATTACGTGAATAACAGAACGAGAGATTGTCGAGACGAATATTGTTTAATTAGTTTAGTAAAGACAAGTGAATATCGACTAGTCGACAAACAAATCGAAGATAACCCTGTTTAATTTTAAAATAGTATTATTTCCCCTCGATTCTTTAATAGAATAATTGTTGTTATTATTCTATTAGAGGTTTCCTTATTTGTATTCACGAGTGTTTGAAACTTGGATAGGGAGTGAGAAGCGCGCATAATTAGAATAGGTCACTTGTAAGTTCAATTCAGTCTTAATTGCACAACTATCGTAGTAAGGGCGATAGCACGAGCTAAGCCTGGTAACATCCCCCGGTCGGCGAACACACCTACGCGAAAAGATAAATCGCTCTCCCAAAACCCCCTTTATTCCCGATCGTAACACAAGCAAAGAGAGTGAATTTGGATATGCTGTTCTCATATTTATTAGAACTTAAGAACTTTTTTATTATTGATTAGAGCTTTATTATTTCCGTCCATCTACATAATAGACTTCTTTATTTTGTGTCTCCAACTCACTAGTACTAGATGGTTCTTCATCCACATAATCTTGTTTAGAGACATTGAGTTTTACTAATAGCAAAGACTACAAATTGCAGACTCACAAAGCCTTTCACGTCATCACCATTCAGACCTGTCCACCCCTTTCTTATTTCTGTCACCAACTAGCAGACTCCAAGTCAATTTCTAAGGCATACTGCTTAATGCGACTATTTATCCAAGCTGGCTTTTGTTTGTTAGCCATATTCTTTGAAGCAAGAAATTGTTGTTTCTGGAAATTCGAGTATAGATGCTTTGGTAGAACAAAAAAAAACAAGATTTCATGTTGTGCATTTGGACCACCTAGCTTTTCTTGAAGAGATTTCAACCCACTGATCTTAATTGGATGATTTGGGCAATAGGTCATCTGGAAGAGCAATGATTGCATCAACAGATGTGAAATTCTTTTGTACTGGCTGGCAGTATTTGTTATTCTCAATCTGACTAATTTCTCGAAATGCAATGCAATTCTGCTTATCCAGTAGAATGTGCTTAATGTCAGAAGTAGTTGTAGAATCTAAATGGCGATACTCAAACCTTCCTCCATGAATCAGAATCCGATGTGCAACTTCCTCAAATAGGGCACCACGAAGTGTACCAAGTTGTGGCATGTCAGTCATCAGAAATCTGCGTAAATCTTCCTTGAATTGGCTTTCAATTTTGGCCATAACATTTTCAACCACATATTGAGATGCAAACCGTAGGACTTTTGTCTGGTAGTGTTTTGAAACATCAAGGTTTTCCTCATCTGGATGATTTGTGTAGATGTGGACTAACTTGTGACTTGCTTTATCCCCATCATTGGTGTCACCAACATAGTTAAATAAACTTGCATCACATTTACTAATTTCATTATCAAGGCTTTCTTGCTGAGTCTTGTTATCAGCTTTTTCAAGAACAAATCGAGGGATTCCACCCCACTTTCTGAACAATTCCTCAACCAGTGTTGGGTCATAATGAGGAAAATTCTTTGCCCTACATAAACTGACCTCGTCATCATTCCACACTGGCATGTAACAGATTGTTGTTGCAGGAAACTTGTCAAACTCATGATGAATTGACTTCTTGGGTGAGCATACAAGAACTGTCTTTGCAAGATATTTGAATGGAGAGATACCATTCACAATGTACCAAGTATCAGAATTTTTTAGTTCCTTTTTGAACTGGTGGATGTTTCCACTATCAGCTTCAAATACACCATTGTTACTGAAGCACAGAGGAAGTTTGCGAGAATGATGATATATGACTGTTTTCTTTCTATGTGCAAGCAGGAACATCAGGTAATATCCAAAGAATGTTTTGCCAATTCCAGGGTTGCCTGTGATGCGCCATTTGCGATTCACATTGTCAGTAAATATGATACGTGCAAGATGGCGGTAGCATCTGCGAATAAGTAGAGAGGATCCTTGATCAATATCACCACAAAAAAAGATGTCTGTGGGTAGAGAAAGGAACATATCCTCATCATCAATCTCCATTGACTGCAGTGCCTCCCAAAAACTTCCCACACTCGTATTAGTTACATCAGCTATTTCTGTGTGTATACGTTTGGAGGGGATGGGTTCCTCTTCTGATACTGATGCCTTCCTTTTGCCTAGTAAATAAAGCAAAAGTTTTTTTTTTTTTTTCAAAACAACAAGATGTGATTGGCAAAATGGAATGGGGAGAAAAAATCACAGTACATCAGTATTCATTAGGTATTACAAAACATTATTCCAAATGTCCCTTAATAATAAACAAGTATCCTGCTGTGATAACCATTTTGAACTGTCAACCATCTCTTTTTACTAATGAATCAAATTAGTTGATTGCATTATTCATTCACTAATTACCTTGCTCTTTGTGTTCCTCTCCTGGCACTATAACTTTAACTTGAAGTGGGGTTTTGGCAGTATTTTGGAAACTCGAATCTACTGTAGCATCTGGTTCTAGGTCAGCCTCATCACTGTGTTTGCGGAGGATAATTCGGTGGAGGGCAGTTTCATTTAACTCAGGTGATAGTTTCTTCCTGACTGCCTCCTTCAAATCATCCACAACTCCTCTGTCAAATACAACCCCGGATGGTTGCATATTGCCATATTTCACCCAGATTTTGAAAGGGAGTGACGAGGTGCTTACAACAAGCTCATTGAGATCTATTTTTTTTGCAGATGATACATTGTAATTGAGGGGGCTTCAATAGAAAAATATTATTAATAAGTCAACTTACCGCCAGTTATTCCTGTCCTCAAAACAGGTGTAGTAGCACCCCTAGTAGCATCACTAGTAGCACCCCTAGTAGCACTTCTCGTTCTTCTAGTTGTGGTTGGGTTTTTTGACATTGTTTAGGAAGTAGTATGGTACAGAGCACAGCTGCTGCTTGAAAAAATTTTTGTCTGCAGTTGGGCAAATCATGATGTTTGTAGTACACTCCGAAATATCGTCACGCGTTACTTATCGGGCACATGATCTAGTTAGTACAGTAGTAAAACCAGCCTTTCGTATCATGTGACTTTCTACTAATACGGGATTGAGGGCGCGGAAGCACAAATCGTGGTATATAATAGTAAATCTTATATTATCATGTGCCTGAAGTGGCCTGCTTCGCAGAAAGCCTGCATAAAAAATGCCCTATGTGGAAAAATCAAGTGGTTGGTCCCAACCAAGACGTACGCTTAAAGCATCATCCACTGCTTTAGTGAAATCAAAGACTACAAAATCCCGATCCCGCTGCTTATCAATAAATAATCTTAGATACTTTTTGGATCATCGGCATATATCGTGAAGATGGCTAATAATTTTGGGAGTTTATGTATATTTCTGGCTGACGTATATGGGTGAGATATTTTGGTGCCGACCACTAATGAAGTAAGGAATAATTCGATCTTGAATTTTTTTTGATTCGGCGCAAAGATCTTCGACTGTATTTCGATCTGGTGAGAATCTAGCTATATCTGGAAATTTTGTCAGCTGATATAGCCTTAAATGTTACATTTTCCCGAATTGGTTTAAGGCTATTTGCGAAAATCTGGTAGGCATTCTTTACAAATGCCCATTTGGGCTCATTGGGGTGTTTTCCGATTAGTAGTAAATCGTTGTTCTTTATATATCGTTCTCCTTTCTTTTCCTTGAATAAATGCTGGAGTTTGCTTCCAAAGAGAAGATTAAGAATCATATTAGTCGTTCCACTATCTGATCCTCCACAGACTAATAAACGAAAAGGAAATGGAGGGTGGCAGGATGGTTCATATTCTTCGAAGTTTTAGCCTCGTTAAGATTGTATATATAACTAGATTAGTAAGAGACCTGCTGCGCAAGCTACACAACATTTACTAAATCTTAAATATGTTAATAAGCAATTATCTCAACCAAATGACAGTACGTACTCCATATAGCGTCCAGCAAACTTGTTATAGCTTTAAATAAGTTTTTAAGGACTTTGTCAAATGTACAGCTTATAATACTTGTACGTTTAATGCCATAACGGTATTTTAGTTAACTGATATAAAGTTTCTCTTTTGGATATGGATATGACTGTATTGGCTGGGAGGCATTGAAATGGCAAATTGTATTGTCAGTACTAAGACAATGTTTAATAGTAATTCAGCATAGTTCATAAGTTTCCCTGAGTGAGATTAACTGTAATGTAGCAAATTTGACTACAAGCTATCATTTCTTCACAGAAATTGATATTGATTATGCAGCATGTGTACAAGAAATAGCCATCAATAGTTATCAGATGACAATATGTGATAAAAGTGTCTCTTAGCTACGAGAAAAGAGGAACATTATTCGGTACTAGTTCGTAGAGTGAGTACAAATCTGCAGAGACTTGCCGTTTGAGTTACATAATAGTCTACTGTCTTCGTTATCCAACAATGTGTTATATGTTCGATAGTTCATACTTTCTTTTAGCATGCAGTCATGTTTGTGGTACAACAAATTAATAAATGTGATGTTGAAGGGAGGCAAGCGAGCCACTAGTATATAAGGGAAAAGTTCACGTTGTTGAGAATATTTGGTATGTATAGACTATACCGTATTATGTTTAGTGTTCTGCAAAAATAAAATGGTTTGTGATTAAACGTCTATTTTAAACTGACATGTATATTATGACGCACAATAGTGCTTTCGTAACATAACCTTTTAGAATGTAAAAAGACATTACCATATGTAGTAATGTATACTGTAAATCCCGTCAAAGAACCTAAAATTTTTTTGCTTGTCAAAAAAACCCCCCGGAAAATTGTATACATCACTAAAACGCGTCTATCCAGCATCCAATTTGGAACCAATTTGCGATGCGCTTAATTCAAAATAAACACAAAGATCTAGGGATCAATTTACACTCTTTTTTTTTCATTGCATCCATGCATAACTTTTTGATACATTATTATTATTACACAATGTCTGATACTCGTGTAGGAAGTTAGGAAGCACGCATAATAATTATTAAATTAGGTCATTTGTAGGTTTGGTATTCAGTCTTAATTGAACAACTACCGTAGCATGGCGGTAGCGTGAAGCTAAATCTGGTAACATCCCCCGGTCGGAAACACCCCTACGCGAAAGATATTCGCTCACCCAAACCCCAGACCATCCGACTGTAACAATACATGGTATTACCTTTCGTCTCACTTAATCCGTTGTTTGTCTGTGATGATTACAAGATAAAGAATGTTTATTTACTTTGAACATACCTGACGACGTGAGGTGTTTTCCATCACAAGTTTCTAGCGCGTTATGCATACCATTGTCTTTATTTATATAGAGTTACATAAGCACTATTAAATTATCATAGGATTAAATTATCATAGGTGTACCAGAGTATCCAGGGGAGGTCATTATAAAAGAATAACTGGGCGCGTTTATTCCTAAAGCTTCTTTGTTATTTACTCTCAAATAATGAGCAAACAAGACAATGGCATATCATTTGTTATAATATCCGCTTAAATTTACCACCGTTCAAAGAAGCTTTGGTTAAACATTCTCGGACCGTCTAAACACTTTAACTTTTGTTTACCCATTTCCCTATGGCCCGTGTCCTTTTTGACTGTATGAACTAGTACAACTCTAATAATAATGTTAAATGTTTGCAGTACATTAAATCTGTGAATTACAACCGATTAATTTAAGGGCGTAGAGTGTGTCTTAACATCATATGACTATTCGTTTTGTGAGTTAATATATAGCCTTCCAGTTGGAGCTGCAAAAGTTCATATGCATAGCCTTCTCATATTTGTACTTTCTACTACATACAAGACACTCGAGAACAATGACTATGGAGGAAACATCGATTTAATGGTTAATCTCATAACATACAAATAATTCGTAAAGTATATTCTGTCGATTATAACTAACACAAATGAAATGGACTAATTTATAATTTGGATATAAAAAGTTTCAGATTATTGACTATGGTGCACAAACACTGCGATATTTCAAGCGATCCATTATCAAAACTGCATATGGTTATCTTTACTATTACGGATAATTTATGGTTTAAAATCGACGTTAGTTAACATCAATTTCAAAGAAAAACTACTATCACGGCTCCGCATCAACGTACATTGTGTATCAATTATAATTTTCTAGACATCAAATTTTTTACTAATTCAACGTGTATTGACTACTAGCCATGGGATATATGATAAGTAGAAACATCATAATTCACTATCGAATAAACTCCAAGTTTATGAAAATTTTAAATCGCTAAATTATAAAATAATGAAAGATGTTAACATATTTCTGAACTTGGCAAATTGAAATCTGGCAGCGAAGGAAAATTATCACTGTTTCTTGGTTGAGGCAAATCTCCAGTAGGTAGGAGCTTACTAGAATATTTATTCTCCTTCTCGAGACGTGATAAGGGTTTTACATCATTATGATAAACGGCATTCCACGTGTTGTCGACCCCTTTAAAAAGCCTGTCAATATCATTCCAAAGTGTTCCCCCATTCTTTGGATGCTTATCAGGGTCAGCATCACAACACTGCTCAGCAAGTTTTTTGTATTCCTCTGGTGCGGAATCAGGCATCGATGGTCGTAGTCCATCCATAATGTTGCATACTAAATCTCTATCGAACTGCCTATCTCTAAAAGGTGGTTCACCAGTGGCAATCAAATACATAATGATACCAAATGAATACACATCTGATTTCTGAGTAAATTTGCAAGTATGGAAGACTTCCGGTGCAATAAAAGGTAAAACGCCTCGAAT